GGCTCACACATTTTTGTCTTAGATCAGGAAGGATGGCTCCAAAGCAAACTAATTTAGGCAGTAGCCAAATCACTCCCTCACAACTTTCATGCCAGTGGCTAACAAAGTAGCATTTTTGCTCGCAAGACTCCCCAGCTTAGAGGGAGCATTGCTTGTGATGCTCACTGCTCAAGAAGACTAGACTCATTCATATGGATTACTTTACATGTGAAGGCACATGGCCTTCTGGTGGATGACAGATTCCCAGTGGGGATTGGAGGGGAGGGCATTTGGCTGGTTGATTTTTAACATAGCCAACCTTTTAATTTGAAACCTCCTGGATGCAGTGATGGAGATTTCAGAGTTTTTTAACCCAAAGAATACTGTGGAAGGGTACAGCTAATACATCACACAGTGTGCTTGCAAGAATTCCCACATTCAATGTACGTACGTCTCAGATACAAATGAGAAAAAAAACTATGTTTGATATGTAGGAGGCCAAGGGTTTTATTAGCCCACTACAGAGGTGTAACCACCCATTATCATTTTATGCACTGCTATATACAATGGAGCATTCTGAGGGAGCTCATTTGGAAGCCCCTGAATACAGGCTCTGTTGATCCACATCTATTCCGTTTCTACATCAAGCTTCTATGCAACAAAGAAATTGCTGCTGCTGCATCCATTTATTATTGTGATTCAAGCCCTCTTCATTTCTGTCTGGACCTGCTTTTATTTTACTCCCATCCTCAGTCCATCTATTTGACCCATGTGCACTGGCACCACTCACTGCCCCACCCTAGTTTCAAGAATTGTCCCTTCTTCTGTATCTCTCAGATAGTCCTCCAGCCTCCTTTTCTGGCATCTGATGTGTTCTGTTTCTCCACATCTAGCCACCCACTGCAGCAAAGGCGGCCATTGCATGCTGAAATATATTTAGCCTAATAGTTAATGCATTTTTAGAACAAATTCTGTTTCTCCCACTGACTTCCACGGGGATACTCCAGCAGATTTTTCTTACCATGCTCTAGTCTAGTTCTCTGTGTTATTGACAACACAGAGCCAACTGTGGGAGGGGAACAGAGAAGCTACACAGACCAAGCACTCCCTTCCCACAGATAAACCAACAGTTCTGTTTCTCTTTAGCAACTTTTGCCTTCTTACAATTCACAGACAATGTCTCAACAATAAACACACTTCTGAGCATAAGTGGGGTGATTTAAGAGTGGAAACCCCAATCAAATACAGAGGACCCCACACACACAATAACAACAAAGACTATATGATGGCATGAAATTGCCAATAAGGCATATATCCATTTCCTCCCCACAAGTCAATACACAGATTTTTTGAAGGTTTTTGACATACCAAAAAAAATAGTGCTGGGAAAGGGAAAGGGGGAGAAAGAGAATTGGCTGGCCAATTCTAGATTCAGATTGGCTGGATAAGAACTCTTGGGCCAATCCAGCAGGATTCTTATGTGGCCAATGATATGGTGTTATCCTCCCTAATGCACCCACACCAAAAGCTGAAAGTACCATGATAATTGCCTGTGAGGTGCACACATTTTTATTCTGTCCCATTTCCTCAGTCGTGTATGTGGTACTTGAAACATGTGCAAGCACCCTCAGAGGAGAAATACTTTGCCCCCCCCAGTTGGAATAACGAGACAGACAACAGTTTTGGAAGTAAACAAGGGCCACTTTACTAACTATTTAACATAACATTGTGGAAAGGGACCAGCTAAGCAAGCATGGAACAGGCAAGGCAGGTGTCATTCCCCTGACCAACCTCCTTGCCCTTTTCTCAGGCGGGTCACCCAGCTCCAGTCCTGAGCCATCGGTCTGGCTCATGACCAGCAGCCCAGCAAACTGGTCACCACCTAGGAGCGCCTACCCCTGAAGCCTTCCAACTTGCAGAGAGGAAGAAGAAGAAGAGGAGATTGGATTTATACCCCGCCCTTCACTACCCAAAGGTGTCTCAGAGCGGCTTACAAACTCCTTTCCCTTCCCCTCCCCACAACAGACACCCTGTGAGGTGGGTGGGGCTGAGAGAACTCTGACACAAACTGCTCTTTTTCAAGGACAGCTGTGCCAGAGCTTGTGACTGACCCAAGGTCACATCAGCAGGTGCAAGTGGAGGAGTGGGGAATCAAACCCGGTTCTCCCAGATTAGAGTCCGCACACTTAACCACTACACCAAACTGGCTCTCGGTAGTGCGGATAGTGGGGTCGGTTATTCTGCCCCGCCGGGTATGGCAATGTGGAGACCCCCACTAGGCGTAAAGCCACCCACCAGATGAAGGAGCATACCCTAAGAGGTTCCCAGAGGAGGTGATCACCGTTCCCCACCCTGGACCTTAGAAATCTGAAGGCAGTTCCTGATGACCCCCTGTTCCCTAATGGGGAAAATGCCGTAAGGTGCTCACCGGTTCCGGTTTCTTGCACGCACCAACCTACCACAGCAAAGTCCAAACCTCTGCTTTGGTCTTTGCTCCCCACCAAAAG